ACATCTCAGACAGCAAATCAAACGATATAATATTTTGTTTCTACTCAACGTCTGATTATGATATTGGTATGTGGACTTATGGAAAAAAGGATACACTGAACATACCTCACAATTGCCCGTAAAGTGAATATATCACACTTGCCTGTAAAGTGAATATATCACACTTGCCCGTAAAGGAAATATATTACACTTGCCTGTAAAGGAAATATATCACACTTGCCCGTAAAGGAAATATATCACACTTGCCTGTAAAGTGAATATATTACACTTGCCTGTAAAGGAAATATATCACGCTTGCCTGTAAAGGAAATATATCACACTTGCCTGTAAAGTGAATATATTACACTTGCCTGTAAAGGAAATATATAACACGGCAAGCATGGGTTGCTGAAGACCTATTCTACCCGGATCTTCCCCGTTAGCCAACATTGATGTATTCGTAGATATATTCAGTGTCATTCCAGTGGGGCAACGCAGACAATAAGAGATAAAAGTATGTCGCATTTTTAACTTCCAAGAATGCAGTTCAGTTGCATCTGGAATGAACCATTTTATACCCATATTGACTGTTACTTGTTATATAAAACTGTGCACATGCATGGTCGTTGAAGCTTTTGTGTTGGGTCGCTTTATCCATCACCTACAATCTTGCACTTTTCATTGTATTTAATAGTCGAGGTCCTTTTTTCCAGTTTCATAAACGCATCCCAATCAGTATGACATAAGCAACATGTACTTCAACTGTTAATCACATCGTCAACATACTCAGTGAGTGAAGTGAGTGAGTATGGTTTTACGCCGCTTTTAGCAATATTCCAGCAATATCACGGCGGGGGACACCAGAAATGGGCTTCACACATTGTACCCATGTCGGGAATCGAACCGGGGTCTTCAGCGTGACGAGCTAACGCTTTAACCACTAGGCTACCCGACCGCCCCTCAACATACTCAGACCTATTGACATGTTTTTGTTCGACACCCTACATACCTGGGTGACCCTTAATTAAAACACATCTGTGACGTCATTCTATTGTTTGAACGCTCAATTATTTTTCAGGAATGTAGAGTTGTTGGTCAACTATACATTATCTTGAACCAACATTTGAATTAATTTCCACTTTGTATGGACGGAACTATTTTTTTTTTTTTATTTTTTTTTTTTTTTTTACAGTTGACAAATGAATAATTTCATTTTTTTTCCGAAAACTTGTGTCGCCAGCGGGGTTCGTACCCGCATCATTTGATTTGAGAACGTGAAATTGTAACCTCAGCTACGGCGGTAGATGAAAGCATGGTGCGAAATTAACTATTAAATATTTTCATAATTTTGCATCATGCTTAAGAGCTCAAATAATATGTATATATTTTGTGTTGGAGCAGATCACAAATAGATAAACCTTTGATGAGAAAAAAAACAAATCAGGAAATATTTATATTCTTGTTCGGGACTCTATATTTCCTATTATTCCCGTCAGCATGTATAAACAATGTGCAAGCGATAGATAGATACTAGTTTAGGACCCAACGAAATTATGAAGAGCCGTGTACCATGCATTGTAAATGTCAGCTCGCGACGGAGCTTGGCGCACGTGCAACAGCGGCAGAGAACGTATTCCTCGTGCATCACGCACTGGCGGCTCACGCAGTCTAAATACAGGCTTCAAAGAGTTCTGGGCCCCGTTCCTCAAAGCGATCTTAGCGCCACGATGATCGTAAGACTATGCTAAAGTATGGGACTTACGATCACCTTAGTGCTAAGATCGCTTTGAGGAACGGGGCCCTGGTTTGTTTTTCAAATATTTTCCACAACAGAATATTTTCTCAAAGTAGGGATGAGTTTTAAGTAGGGGAATATCCCCGTAACTCTCCATTCCTTAAAAATAATAGGCCTCTACTCCATTATTTTTAAGGAATGGAGAGTTACTCGGACATTCCCCTCTACGTAATGACGTTGAGTATATATATGTATGACCAACGTGGGGATCTTAAGTTAAACTATGCCCCCAGGGCCCCGTTCCACAATGCGTTCTTAGCGCTAAGATGATCGTAGCTCCCATGCTTTAACATAGGCTCACGGTAGTCGTAACGCTAAGATCGCTTTGTGAAACGGGCCCCAGGACTTTGGCGTTGTTTACCGCTGCTCATGCTGTCAACCGCTGGTGTTCCCGACCCAGACTCGTATGTATCGGCCGCAGGGATACAGCCTGAATTCCGTAAACAACACTATCCGATCATACTATTTACTATTCGATCAGGGGGGCACGGGTGGCCCAGTCGTCTAAGGCGCCGCGATTCGCTGTGCAGAGTTGCGTCCCTTGGGCCGTCCCAGAAACCTATGGTTGTGGGTTCGAATCCTGGTTCGCCCCGATTATGTTTCTAGGTTTGTCAGCACCATACCCGTGCTCGTGGGTTTCACCGAAGTGGTAAACGTCTGAGACCTGCATCACTTCGGGCTTTCCTCCCACATTAAGCTGACACGCCGTGATATGACTGGAATACTGTAAAAAGCGGCGTTAAACCCAACTCACTCACTATTCGATCATACTCCTGCCGCCACCATGTGTGTTGCAGCGCACCGAGAGGCACTTACTCTATGGGGAACAGGCAACCTTTTCAAACTGATTTGATCGCGACACAAGCAGTTACTGTTATGCATCAGATGCAATTACAGATCCCGGGGGCCAGATCCCTTTTCTTTCCGAGGAGTAATTCAATTTAAAATTGCGCACAGCACGCAAACATAATTTGCAATCTTATTTACTTCACTCTGATTTTCGATAATCTCTGATATGGTTAAGAGCCTTGAAATAAGCAGGGTGTTTTGTCTGTGTTTTATGTCAAGGAAATTCAAACTGCATATGAAACTCTTTCACAATGCTTTCGTGTAAGGAGTGGGCCAAAGTAAATAATGTTGGAACTGGAAGTATCTCTTTTTAAATTTGGAAGCTTTTCAGTTAAGATCGAGGCTTAACATTGTTAAAAGTATTTTAGTCGTAAGACGGCGTGGGAGGAAAGCTGAAGTAACCAGTCCTTGAGATATTTACCTTGGTGAAATCAACCAGCGACATTGTGCTGGCAGACAAAAAAGTTTTAATGAGCTTGATCTTGAATTCGAATTCACGATCCTGGCTTAAAAAAACCAACAAGTGCAAAAGTGAGCGTAGCTCACTAATACCCCCGACCCGCCTAGTGTGTCAGTAGTTACAAATTAAATAGCTAGGATAGGGTTAGCCTTAGGGTTTGAAAAATTCATAAAAAAATGGAAAATTAATAAAAACATTTTTTTTCTTTTGACTGCACCCCTCCATATGACACAGATTATATGTACTAAGTTTGAGATGAATCCACTGAATAGTTTAAGAGAAATCGCGCGGACAACGTTTTCGGACGGACGGACGGAACCTTGGTATAAAATACTATAACTATATATCCCCGACATTTTGTCGGGGGTATAACAAAAAACGCGACTCTTCACGGTCAAGGGTACTAATAAATGTTGTGTGTCACCGAAGATAGAAAAAACAATTTTCCGGTACATTGCATCAACATTTAATTCTTAATTACAGTATAACGTAGTTCAACCAGGTCAAAGATGTGGAACGATTATTGTAATCAAGTAGACCCAAATGTCAAGAAGACACTTAATGTTAACAATTTGATCAGTCTTTCTTGAAATGTCATCACTATGAAATGTAACTATGTTTGCCTGTCCATGATAAAAATCACGAATAATAAAAAGAACGCACTGGATCAGTTTAACTATATACGTCTTTGGTTTGACCAGTGCAATGTACAAAAGCAATTATTTACTCGTGCAGGGTTGGATATTTTACGAGCGCTTCAATCTATGGTTCAGCGCTGTCGGAAAAGTCACAGCTGAAACATGCAACAGAGATGAGCAGGTTTAGTGTGAGTGAGTTGGGTTTTAACTCTGCTTTGAACAGTATTACAGTTATATCGTGGCGTGTGAGCTTAATGTGGGAGGAAAGCCTGAGGTGATGCAGGTCTCAGACGTTTACCACTTCGGTGAAACCCAAGTGTTGGTGCTGACAAATCTAGAAACATAATCGGGGCGAACCAGGATTCGAACCCACGATCATGAGCAGGATTAAGTAATTCTCTGTTGTCAACATTTACTGGGGTCAAAGGTCAGAACCGGGATTCGAACCCACGAGTAAGAGCAGGATTAAGTAATTCTCTGTTGTCATCATTTACTGGGGTCAAAGGTCGGAACCGGGATTCGAACCCACGATTATGAGCAGGATTAAGTAATTCTCTGTTGTCATCATTTACTGGGGTCAAAGGTCGGAACCGGGATTCGAACCCACGATTATGAGCAGGATTAAGTCATTCTCTGGTGTCAACATTTACTGGGGTCAAAGGTTGCCCCTTCCAGTTCTCTCTGGGTTTCATTGTGATGTTATCAAGCATACTCATCTTATCTTTCAGCTTCCTTAGCTTTGTGGCTTTTGAGAAGGAGTAAAATATTAACTGACGGAAGGCATATACTACTCAAAAGAAGTTAAAGAACACCCGTTTTCATATGACTTTAGTCACTCTTTCATGTCAAGACTTTTATAGAGTAGGATAATTCATGATGGATTAACTGTAGTAATAGAGAACATGGGGAGTTCTTTAACATGTTTTGAGTAGTATACAAAGAGCCAAGTGAGTGAGTGAGTGAGTGAGTGACTAGGGTCAACGCTTAACAGTATTCCAGTTATATCACGGTGTGTCAGCTTAATGTGGGAGGAGAGCCCGAAGTGATGCAGGTCTCAGACGTTTACCACTTCGGTGAAACCCACGAGCACGGGTATGGTGCTGACAAACCTAGAAACATAATCAGGGCAAACAGGGATTCGAACCCACAATCATAGGTTTCTCGCGTACCCAGGGGACGCAACTCTGCACAGCGAATTGTGGCGCCTTAGACGACTGGGCCACCCATGCCCCACCACTGTATCTTTTGATTCTGGTGAGTAAAAATCTGAAAACCTGAGTGATAATATACATCACTTTATTGACATTACAAAGTGTTTTGTACACATACATGCATCTTACACAACTACGATCTGTGTGACAAGTTGTGTCTGACCTACACTCCAATGATAATGCCCTGTCCAAAATGGCAACAATGGCAGTGAGACTGATCACTACTTTTTCCCTGATTTCTTCTTCCCACCCTTAGGCTTGAATCCCCCTTTAGGTTTGAAGCTGCCCTTGTGCTTGAAGCTGCCCTTGCCCCCCTTCTGTCCGCGCCGCGACTTCCAGGAGTCCCCCCTGATCCACTGGTCCCGCCGTGCCTCCCACTTGAGCTGCTTGACACCTGCAACACAAACAGTTGGGTTGGTTGGTTGGTTGGTTTGTTGTTTAACGCAGCACTGAGCAATATTCCAGCTATATGACGGCGGTCTGTAAATAATCGAGTCTGGACCAGAGAATCCAGTGATTGACATCATGAGCATCGATCCACGCAATTGGGATCGATGACATGCATCAACCAAGTCAGCGAGCCTGACCACCCGATCCTGTTAATCGCCTTTTACGACAAGCACAGTCACCTTTGACGGCAAGCATGGGTTGCTGAAGACCTATTCTACCCCGGAATCTTCAAGGGTCACAAACAGTTGGTTGAGGATACGCTACACATATAAAAATTTCACATTCGTTCTTGGAAGACAATTCTTCTAAATTTTTCAGAATTGGAGCCCTATTATCATGATGTCCTCCTAATGTCCCTTGGCCACAAAGCGATATGTTCGCTAAGGTGATCACAACTCCCATACTTTAAAAAACACTTACGTCTGTCCTAGCGCTACGATCGCTTTGAGGGAGGGGCCCAGGCTAATCTGTTCGGTCAGTTCAGAGAAAAAGTAAACTTAATTTCGGGACTCAAACACGTGAGTGAGTGAGTGAGTGAGTGAGTGAGTGAGTGAGTGAGTGAGTGAGTGAGTGAGTGAGTGAGTGAGTGAGTGAGTGAGTGAGTGAGTGAGAGTGAGTGAGTGAGTGTGTGAGTGAGTGAGAGATTGTCAGTGAGCAGAGAGATTGTCAGTGAGTGAATATGGTTTTACGCCGCTTTTAGCAATATTCCAGCAATATCACGGCAGGGGACACCAGAGATGGGTTTCCCTGTGTGTGGAATCGAATCCGGGACTTCGGCATGAGGAGTAAAATGCTTAAACAACTAGGCTACCCAACCACCAAACTGTATGAGTGAATGGCTGAGTTGTATTTTACACTGCTCATAGCAATATTTCAGCAATATCGTGGCGTGGGACACCAGAAATAGGCTTCACACATTGTACCCATGTGGGAAATCGAACCCGGACCTTCGGCATAATGAGCCGTTGTTTTAACTACCAGGCTACCCCACTCCCCAACACAAAACTGAAACAAAAAAGTAGATATATGTCAGATACCAATGTCCTCGCTAGATAGAGATAGATGCCACCTTACTTGAGTTGTCTGTGTTGGACATGTCCTGGGTGCCCCCTGCCAGCATGGCCTGACCCCCGACGGTGTCGCCCTCCAGCAGGTGGGAGAACTCCTCCGCCGCCGCGAACAGACTCCCAGTGTCGTGTCTGGAAACAGTGAAAGTACAGCAATTACCAGACATAGGCTACACGGACAAAAACTACAATCACCCTTTGATTCTCAACACGATTCTCAGTTTGACATTAATATTTTTGCCAAATCAATCAATCCTATTTAGCTTAACAATCTAGATTTCTTTCCCTTGATACACATACTCTGCCAAGATTAACTTCATTACTCTTCTATGAAAAGCCCACAATTTGTACACTAATTGAGTTCTTAATTCAAATGTGTTTTAGGCTGAGGGCATATTTCTTGCCCTCTTCAGACTTTTTTCTTTGGCAGAAAACATTTGTGATCAAGCAATTAGAAATAACAATGGCCGGAACTATGTAATGTCCTCAGATGTATATTTAATAACTTGGCCACTTAATTCGACTACTACTACAAATCATTACATTAAGAAATTCATTTCCCCAAATAAAACCTTAAATTCATCTGAAACTCACTTGGATTTGTCCTTCTTTCGTTTTCGCTGTGTGGGCATAAAGTCGTCCTCCCCAAGATCTGCCCCTCTCTTTCGACCAGACACTCCTTCCAAGCCATCTATAATACACAATACAACACTGACTGGTAGTCACCATTGCTCATCACAATTGTCAGCTTAATGTGGGAGAAAAGCCCGAAGTGATGCAGGTCTCAGACGTTTACCACTTCGGTGAAACCCCAGGCACGGGTATGGTGCTGACAAACCTAGAAACATAATCGGGGTGAACCGGGATTCAAACCCACAATCATAGGTTTCTGGTGTGCCCAAGGGAAGCAACTCTGCACAGCGAATCGCGGCGCCTTAGACGACTGGGCCACCTGTGCCCCCTCCAGTATACTAGAAATACTTGGTACTGACTGTTAAAATATCACTTTACTGGAAATGTCAAAGACTGTTTGTTAGAAACATGGTGTACCTTTTGACTTATAAGCATTATAACTGACACCCTGGAGTCTTACCTACCTCAGCATTTATCAAAGGCCCAACACATTGTAATTGTGACTACCCACTGGGCTATGTGTGAGCCTTCGGAGGGAAGACTACGCTTTGTAATAAGGATGCAAAAAGGTGAGTGAGTGAGTATGGTTTTACGCCGCTTTTTAGCAATATTCCAGCGGGGGACACCAGAAATGGGCTTCACACATTGTACCCATGACGGGAATCGAACCCGGGTCTTCGGCGTGACGAGCGAACACTTTAACCACTAGGCTACCTGACCACCCCGATGCAATAAGGGAAAATGAAACTGATTTTTGGTAATGTACAGTATTTTCTTCATTCTCAATTTTTCACTGAGCTGCAGATACAACTGCCACTGGAATTACAGCTTCATCTTGGTGACATGGATTCCACATACTAGTGGTTGATAGCATGATGAACAATCGACACAACATCAGCCTGATCACCAAAACAAAATGTTGGTTTGAATTTACAACAAGCATGAGGAACCGTGGATACATTAGGTCTCAGAATTCCCATCGAATGTTGCTTAAATCATCATAACTGCTATGTATTCTCCAATACCTTCATCTGAGAATTCTATTTCCTCTTCATCAAACTCTCCGTCTTCATCATCTCCCATCGCATCTTCCATCTCCGCCTTAAACTCAGCAGCCAAGTCATCGTCATCACCAAAATCCATCTCTTCATCTGACAGATCATCATCAGCAGCATCATCAAAATCTTCATCACTGTCTCCATCATCATCTCCTGCAGTCTTACTCTCTTTCTTACTTTTACTCTTCTTTTTGCCAAACTCCCTACACATGAAATAGAAATAGCTCACAGAACAATGATCACAGAATAAAACTAAAATCTTAAGAGGTCTCATTTTCTTCGCAAATACTTTTAAGAAATTTTAGCAATGAAAAAGAAAATGGGAAATGAGGATCTCTTTGGTGGACTTCAACCAGCATGTCTTCAATTTCACCCTCCCAAGGTCACCTTCCCGAGGCAAGGGAGTTAACTTTTAAAAGTCCAGTTTCCACCCTTGCCAAACTGGGTTGGAATTCCTGGGCTCGACCGTAGCGCCACCAGTGGCTGTTACGAGTTATGTCCCTTCTAAGCCTCTCCTTTGGACTAATCAGATTCCACCTCTCGTAACGCTTGCATTTATTTCAAACAAAATGGCGGCGCCCAGTCAAGACGATCTGATCGATAATCAAGATCTATATTGTGATAAAACGGGTCTTACATAGCGTTGTGCATCAAATCACGTGAGCACCTTGATTAAAAACAGGAAAAGACTTGGTAAATTTCTGTTGACAACGAGTTGGAGATGCACTGGCTCTGCAAATCCTGCAATCGACCGAAATCTGAACGACATTTTACGAACCGGATTTCGATTTCGGTGCACGATTTTGATAAGACTATGCATAGACTCATTAGTCTTGCCAAAATGTAACTCCATAATACCAGCCAAGTTCTGCAAGGGTGGAAACTGGACTTTTATAGTCAGTTAACTCCCTTGCCTCGGGAAGATGCTCAAGGTTGACCATCTGTAAGGATCCTGGGATCATTCCTAGCATGTGTCTCGCCAACTTTTAACAAACAGATCTAACACAGTTCTCTTCAACACATCTGATGCTCCCTGTAGTGAACACTCTGGAAGTTCCCTGCCTCCACTTACCTGGCAAAGTCAAGGTCAAGGTCCCCGAAGTCCTCCCCTTCGTCAGCCCCTGTCTCGAACTTATCTGCAGTGATGGAAAATCACACTTCACTCAAAGCTAGCAGTCTTACAATGTTTAACACAGTAACAGGTGCACTGAAGTTTCCTATGAAACTGGTAGGATTAGATGGTGGTTTCAAATGTAATAAATGTTATAATTTTTTATGAAAAAGGATGCAAATCTAATTTATTGAGTCCAGCAGTCGGACAGCAGTATTCCTTTCTTTGTTTTTTGTCTAACGCCACAATCAGCAATATTCGAACAATATGTATGCAGTCTATAAATACTTGAGTCTGGACCAGACAATCCAGTGATTGATATCATGAGAATCAATCCACACAATTGGGATATGATGACATGCATCAACCAAGTCAGTGAGCCTGACCACCTGATCCAGTTGGTTGCCTCCTAAGTCAAGCATAGTCGCCTCTTACAGCAAGCATGGGTTGCTGAAGACCTATTCTACCCCGGATCTTCACGGGTTAGCAGTATTCCTTTACAAACAGGACAACATTATTACCTGTTCATCCAAATCCTTACTGTGGGCAGGCTTGGCAGGATATCTAGTACTCAAACCTTACCCATCATTGATGGTGCAAGCTCGGACACCCTTTACCCATATACTTACATATCAAAATAACACGGATGTCTTGTTCCAATAGCAATACACAGCCCTACACAAACATTTTCTATTTCAGATTCATATTTATGTAGGTTACTAAATAAATTCTCACATCTGCCAATGTGTGTGTGTTGTGCTGTGTGGAAAATTACACACTCTCCCTACCAATCGTTGCCTGGACTATACATTCCTGACGACACATTCAATGACCACCTGCCAGCTGCCATATAGCAAGTCACCACCGAAAAAAGTCAAAACAATTTCCACTACGACTATTTAGAATATCTGTCAGCAAAAACTAATAATAAGCTTTGTACTTATAACAGAAAGTGGAAATTGTATTTAGGTTTACATGATGCCTTGAATCTAACATAGATTGCTGACTGTGTGTTATTATTATTTCCAATCACTTTGACTTTATTGCCAAGGAAAAACTACAATGTTTCTCCAATATAATGATTACAATATTATAGCTTGGTATTGTTTATTCTTTTATTATTAGCTTATCTTTCTATGATTGCCCATAAATATGGTGCTAACAACTTTCATGCCAGAACATCTTGCTTGATCCTACATGATCAAGGCCTATCCAATTTTTTACGCTTAGAAATATATGCTGTGTCAAATTGTTAATAATGCTATATGTATAAATATCACTGTGTATGTAACCACCGAAACTGGAATAAAAATGATTGGAAAAAAAAAAAATTACACGACGACAATAGTCACATTAACAATTACCAACCAACTAATTTTCTTCACAGAAGCTGCTTCCAAAGAGGTTTCAAATCGCAGACGCTGATTTTTCCTCGACCCTATTGTTTCCTGTCTGATTCCAAAGATACGGAGACAAACGAGGACACTAACCCAGATATTCATCAAACTCCCCATCACTGACACTGTCCACATCGCTGCCGTCATCCTTCCCTTTCAACTTGTCCCTCACAGACTTCTGGCTGAAGTACCTGAAGATAGGAACATAAATTAGAAAACAGCCAATGAGGTGTGAGGTATTGCTTCGTTTGTTTGTTGTTTAACGCCGCACTCAGCAATATTCCAGCTATATGACGGCGGTCTGTAAATAATCCAGTCTGGACCAGACAATCCAGTGATTAATATCATGAGCATCGATCAACGCAATTGGGATCAACCAAGTCAGCGAGCCTGACCACCCGATCCCGTTAGTCGCCTTTTACGACAAGCATAGTCACCTTTTACGGCAAGTATGGGTTGCTGAAGGGGTAGAATAGGTCTTCAGCAACTCATGCTTGACGTTAGAGGCGACTATGCTTGTTGTAAAAGGCGACTAAAGGGATCGGGTGGTGAGACTCGTTGACTTGGTTGATGCATGTCATCGTATCCTAATTGCGTGGATCCATGCTCATGATGTCAATCACTCGATTATTTACAGACCACCATCATATAGCTGGAATATTGCTGAGTGCGGCGTTAAACAACAAACAAACATGTCATGAAGACAGCAGAAGCATCAATCCACAGAGGACGACAGAATCTGTCCGGTCACAGAGCTATTTGATCCTGATTAGTCAGTTGTTCAACAAGCTGGGGTACTTGGGAGCCATTCTGTCTTAGAGGTGTGAGGTGAAATTGGATTTAACGTCGCGTCAAAGATTATTGCGCTTATATAGCGAAGTGCATGCACGTGTATGTGTGTGTGTGGCTACTTGTACTAGTCCGGACTGATGCCGATTGATAGTGCTAGCACACTGAGATACCATGCCGCAGTTTAACATGAATACCCCACTCAGACACAGTATACTGACTCCGAGCCGACCAGTCCTTGTTTTGGCCCTTAATGCCGAGCGCCAGACAGGGTAACAACAAGTACCATCTTTTAACGTCTTTTGGTATGACGCGGCCTGGGATCGAACCCCGGACCTTCCGCTCTCCGGGCGGACGCTCTACCACTAAACCACGGAGGCGGTCCCATTCTGTCTTGGACAGCCCAAGGAACCACACTTGGCCAAGGAACAGAGGCCATCCTAACTTAACTTATAGTAGTTGCTTCAGAATTCATACCACTGACATGAAATAGTTCGAAGCTGATCTCACTTCTCTCCTGTCGAGCAGTCAGACAGATTTGTGGCATTGAACATAATCAGAGATTGTCAGATAACAGAAACAGAAGCTGTGCCTTACTTGTACAAGTACTTCTCGTCTTCTGGGATGCTGCTCTCGTCTCTGTCTATGAAACTGTCGCTGGTCACAGGAACCTGGTTTTTCGGAACAGACTGCTTGGCACTCATGACACTCTTGGACACTGCAACATGGGACATTGATACTGTAAGTGTGGTAGAAACATGGCCATGCTATACTCAATGATGTCATGGTAAGATGGTTGTCACAGTTAACTCTGTATGGTTTTGGTTTGGTTTGGTTTGGTTTGGTTTGGTTTGGTTTGTTGTGTAACGCCGCACTCAGCAATATTCCAGCTATATAACGGTGGTCTGTAAATAATCACGTCTGGACCAGACAATCCAGTGATTTATATCATGAGCATCGATCCACGCAATTGGGATCGATGACATGCATCAACCAAGTCAGCGAGCCTGACCACCCGATCCCGTTAGTCGTCTTTTACGACAAGCATAGTCACCTTTTACGGCAAGCATGGGTTGCTGAAGACCTATTCTAACCGGATCTTCACGGGTAGCCAACATTGATGTATTCGTAGATATACTCAGTGTTGCTGAAGACCTATTCTACCCCGGAATTGTCACTCTGCATGGAGCAGCATTTCAGTTATATCTCCGAGAGGGTGCAAGGTGCAGACGTTTGACACATCAGTGAAACCCGGGGGTACTGGTGTGGCCATTACAATCCAAGGATCATAATCAGAGCAAATCTGGGAAGTCAGCTAAGCCAGATTTTTATTCTATATATTTGTGCCTTAGGCTTAACAACATAAGTGAGCGAGTGAGTATATTAGCAATATTCCAGCAATATCACGGTGGGGCTCTATCACCCGTGCCCTCTATTGTTTGTCGTAGAGTTAGAACATGACCATGACGTTAGCTAGTGATTACCTGGGTCCAGCTTCTTGGGGTTCTTGTACACAAATCTGTTGAGAAACTTGATGAGGGTAAAGTCCTGCAGGGGGTCGCTTGTGTAGACAATCGGGGATTTCTGGAACATAAATGCAAAGTTGTTACAGAGACAGTGGTCTGAAACACATATGTCTATTGTAATATGAACAACTAGTGTTACAAACATCCCAGGAACAACACATGTTACAAACATCCCAGGAACAAATAGTGTTACTAACATCCCAGGAACAACTAGTGCTACAAACATCCCAGGAACAACTAGTGTTACAAACATCCCAGGAACAACTAGTGTTACAAACATCCCAGAATCAGCCAGTGCTACAAACATCCTACTAACAACTAGTGTTACAAACATCCCAGGAACAACTAGTGCTACAAACATCCCAGGAACAATTAGTGTTACAAACATCCCAGGAACAATTAGTGTTACAAACATCCCAGGAACAACTAGTGCTACAAACATCCCAGGAACAACTAGAGTTACAAACATCCCAGGAACAACTAGTGCTACAAACATCCCAGGAACAACTAGTGCTACAAACATCCCAAGAACAACTAGTGTTACAAACATCCCAGGAACAACTAGTGCTACAAACATCCCAGGAACAACTAGTGTTACAAACATCCCAGGAACAATTAGTGTTACAAACATCCCAGGAACAACTAGAGTTACAAACATCCCAGGAACAACTAGTGTTACAAACATCCCAGGAACAATTAGTGTTACAAACATCCCAGGAACAACGAGTGCTACAAACATCCCAGGAACAACTCGTGCTACAAACATCCCAGGAACAACTAGAGTTACAAACATCCCAGGAACAACTAGTGTTACAAACATCCCAAGAACAACTAGTGTTACAAACATCCCAGGAACAACTAGTGCTACAAACATCCCAGGAACAACTAGAGTTACAAACATCCCAGGAACAACTAGTGCTACAAACATCCCAGGAACAACTAGTGCTACAAACATCCCAGGAACAACTAGTGTTACAAACATCCCAGGAACAACTAGTGCTACAAACATCCCAGGAACAACTAGTGTTACAAACATCCCAGGAACAACTAGTGCTACAAACATCCCAGGAACAACTAGAGTTACAAACATCCCAGGAACAACTAGTGCTACAAACATCCCAGGAACAACTAGTGCTACAAACATCCCAGGAACAACTAGAGTTACAAACATCCCAGGAACAACTAGTGCTACAAACATCCCAGGAACAACTAGTGCTACAAACATCTCAGGACCAACCAGTGCTACAAACATCCCAAGAACAACATGTTTTACAAACATCCCAACTTGCAACCTGTGCTACATATCTCCCCACCCCTTCCCAAGGCTAGTGTAGTCACCTGCAGCAGTGCTTTGGCAAACAGAGCCACAGAGGGGTGGAAGTGGTTGGCGAGCTTCTCCAGTTCCCAGACACACGCCTGGTCAGCGCCACAGTACATCGGGTTTCGGTGGAACGGGTCGTACGTCCCCAGTGTCATCTTTTCTGAAACAATCATTCACCATTTGTCACTTCATTTCTGTCTCAAGCTGTACACATATCGCAGTCACTTCCCTACACACCAGTGTGCAATTGTACAAAACAACCTTAGCGTTACTACTGTCATAGTCTATGTTAAGGTAAGAACAACGATTGTACAGCGGCACCCACCTACCCTGCTTGTGACCCCCTACGCACCAGGCCTACCCTGCTTGTGATCCCCTACTCACCAGGCCTACTCGGCTTGTGTCCCCCTACACACAAGGCCTACCCTGCTTGTGTCGCCTGCTTGTGTCTCCCTACGCACCAGGCCTACTCTGCTTGTGTCGCCTGCTTGTGTCTCCCTACGCACCAGGCCTACCCTGCTTGTCGCCTGCTCGTGACCCCGTATGCACCAGGCCTACTCTGCTTGTGTCGCCTGCTTGTGTCGCCTGCTTGTGTCTCCCTACGCACCAGGCCTACCCTGCTTGTCGCCTGCTTGTGTCTCCCTACGCACCAGGCCTACTCTGCTTGTCGCCTGCTTGTGTCTCCCTACGCACCAGGCCTACCCTGCTTGTGACCCTGTATGCACCAGGCCTACTCTGCTTGTGTCGCCCTGCTTGTGTTGCCTGCTTGTGTCTCCCTACGCACCAGGCCTACTCTGCTTGTGACGCCTGCTTGTGTCGCCTGCTTGTGTCTCCCTACGCACCAGGCCTACTCTGCTTGTGTCGCCTGCTTGTGTCTCCCTACGCACCAGGCCTACCCTGCTTGTGTCTCCCTACACGCCAGGCCTACTCGGCTTGTGTCACCTGCTCGTGACCCCCTATGCACCAGGCCTACCCTGCTTGTGTCTCCGAATGCATCAGGCCTATCCTGCTTGTGATCCCCTACGCACCAGGCCTACCCTGCTTGTGACCCCCTACGCACCAGGCCTACCATGCTTGTGTCTCCCTACACACCAGGCCTACCCTGCTTGTGACTCCCTACACATCAGGCCTACCCTGCTTGTGACTCCCTACACATCAGGCCTACCCTGCTTGTGACTCCCTACACACCAGGCCTACCCTGCTTGTGACTCCCTACACACCAGGCCTACCCTGCTTGTGACTCCCTACACATCAGGCCTACCCTGCTTGTTTCTCCGATGAACCCAGGAGGACTTGACCTTCTTCTTGACCTCCACCTTGATGTCTGGTTTCTCCTCCCCATCCTCTGCTGCATGTGACGACTCCTCATCTTCCTCTGGCAGGTCCACAAAATGCTCCTCGTCATCGGAGTCCTGATCATGTAGACCGCACAGTCAGAGAATGGACAGAGACAAGACACAGGTTAGTGATAAGTAAGTGAATGTTGTTGAATGCCAGGGCACAATGACACACAATCAGCTCACAAAGGCTGATCACCCAATCAAAGTCAGTCGCCTCTTATGACCAGCAAATTGGGTGCGGGGGCACTTATTCTGACCCGGTTCACCAAAGGGGTCTCGGTATAGAGAAGTATCAAGTACATTTTTCAAACGATAGAAATACAACATTCATCAATTAAAGACCAGATAACAAAATGATCTGAGATGAAGATCCTCAGAAATCTCACTTTTCAGACACAAGGATCAAATGCAGCAATCCATTGGGATCGCAGGTTAGAATTGGTCCCCTGGGTGCCATTGTTCAAAACAACCTTAGCGCTGCGACTGTCGTAAGTCTATGTAAAAGTATGGGAGTAATGATCACCTTAGTGCTAAGATCGCTTGGTTAAATGGCACCCAGAACCATATGCTGGTCTTAAGAGGTGATGTAATCTATTGAGTGGTCAAGCTCGGTGACTTGGTTGATTCCATGTCATGGCACCTGGACGACGTCAATCGTTGCTCACAATATCGATCACTGGAATGTCTGGGCCTCATTTGATTATTTACAGACCACTGTCATATAGCTTGAATATTGAGGAGTGTGGCGTAAAAACAAAAATACATCCTTTCTAGCCAAAAGATTATCTTACCTCAAAAGTCTGTGTAAAGTTGATGATATCAGGTCTTTTTTTAATGACCTGAAATGACACAAAGAAGTATCAAAAATATCCTGTTCACTTGAAATATCATTGTATGTTAGTTACACATGACAACCTTGCAGTGTCATATAGAACAGGCACATTCTGCCCACAGTGAGACGATATGGTTGTGTCACCCCTTGAGGTAAAACTGCTCTACCGTGAGAGTGAGTGAGTTGGGTTTAACGCCGCTTTTAATATTATTCCAGTTATATCGCAGCGTGTCAGCTTAATGTGGGAGGAAAGCCCGAAGTGATGCAGGTCTCAGACGTTTACCACTTCGGTGAAACCCACGAGCATGGGTATGGTGCTGACAAACCTAGAAACATAATCGGGGTGAACAGGGATTCGAACCCACATTCATAGGTTTCTGGCGTGCCCAAGGGACACAACTCTGCACAGCGAATCGCGGCGCCTTGGACGACTGGGCCACCCATGCCCCCCTCTTCTGTGAGAAATTCAGTCAGCTTTAACACTCCCAGTAACTGTTTTCAAATCGCAGCATGTAGAACTCACTATCACCTGAACCCAAAATTTAAAACTCTGTGTGTAAGTGCATGCAGTGGCTGAAAACAAATGCAAGATATACAATGTTTAAGAACAGATTAATTTTTAACCAAAAAAGGGACTCCCTCCCCTCCATTAGAACATCAAATGGTCGTATCAAGTCGCCCTGCCCCTTGGTGCCTGTTCTCACCTCGGACAGCATGAAGAGCACGCCACACACAAACTGGGGGCTGTGGTAGGAGCAGACCTGGAGCATCCTCTTGATGAAAGCCTGGAACACAGCATGCAAATCAATAACCACAATGAAACTGCCGCTTACAGTTTGTTTTGGTTGTTGGATTGGTTTGGTTTGGTTTGGTTTGGTTTGGTGTTTTGGTTGTTGGTTTGGTTTGGTTTGGTTTGGTTTGGTGTTTTGGTTTGGTGTTTTGGTTGTTGGTTTGGTTTGGTTTGGTTTGGTTTGTTTTGTTTTGTTTTGTTTTGTTTTGTTTTGTTTTGTTTTGTTTTGTTTTGTTTTGTTTTGTTTGTTTGTTTGTTTGTTTGTTTGTTTGTTTGTTTGTTTGTTTGTTTGTTTTGTTTGATAGTTTTTTGTTTCTTTGGTTAAATCTACAGGTAACCAAGCTCTACATTGAAAACACAGTATGTTTATCTCCTAAACGATAATCAAACTGCTGCTGTTTGTCTTGTTTGTTTGTTTGTTGTTACTGAGGCCAGACATGACAGGTCTAACAAATGTACACAGGAAACGATCATCAAATGCTGACAGCTCAGATTGAGAGAATCACAGAAGGCCACATCTTTAAAGTACACATTGGATGACCCCAAACTGAGGCTCATGATGCTGGGGATCAAGATGTATTTTATTAAATAATTTATAACACTGATAGGAAACATAATTCCACTGGGCCACTTTACTCACCTGGATGTGTCTACACTTTGAAGATATACTACTCAAACGTAATTATTTCTTTTGTTTGTTTGTTGTTTAATGCTGCAATCAGCAATGTTCCAGCTATATGACAGCGGTCTGAAAATAAACGAGTCTGGACCAGACAAACCAGTGAAGGATATCATGAGCATCGATTTACACAATTGGGATACGATGACATGCATCAACCAAGTCAGTGAGCCTGACTCGATGATGTCATATATGGGACGATATTATTTTTGAAAGGGGAGTGTCTAGTGAGTTGTTCCCCATAGATGTAGCTGTGCAATGCAGACAAATGCAATGGCCGGACGATCTCATCCAAAAGTGGGAAAGATATGACAATCAGTATTGGAAGAATAGGTACATGTAATCGATGTGAGGATTGTGCGAATATGCACTAAATATCCACCTGTGCATAAAATGGACTTGTCCGACATTGTCGAGGTGGTTGGTTGGTTGGTTGGTTGTTTAACGCCGCACTTAGCAATATTCCAGCGATATGACGGCGGTCTGTAAATAATCGAGTCTGGACCAGACAATCCAGTGATTTATATCATGAGCATCGATCCACGCAATTGGGATCGATGACATGCATCAACCAAGTAAGCGAGCCTGACCACCCGATCCCGTTAGTCGCCTTTTACGACAAGCATAGTCACCTTTTACGGCAAGCATTGCTTGCTGAAGACCTATTCTTCCCCGGATCTTCATGGGTCTTGTTGAGGTGGAATTCTATTGAAGGAGTCATAATCATTAATGGCTTATGCTCCCTGCAGCGTTTTGTCGTATGATAAACAACTCCCACTCATCGTTTATTTCTTTAAAAAAAACTAATCTATTTGCTACTAACTAACTGGTACCTTTAGCCATCACAGTAGGGTAATGTAGCTATACTACTCAACATTTGCTAAAGATAACGTTGACAAAACTATTAGACAGTTGTCTACCAATGAAAAAGGTGCTAGTGATGACACCACTCATTTAATGGTGTAAGTCCATGGGTAAACAGAAGACAGAGACATTAACAACTTATTACTGTGATACCACTACAATCTGAAACTGTACTTCAGACACCAAATGTATTGCTGGGAGGAGTGATTATCCCTGGATTCAATGGGGTTTCTATAAAAAGATGTAACATTCTGTTTGTTTTATTTATTTATTTTTTTTGTCAGCAATATACCAGCTACATGACGGCGGTCTGTAAATAATCGAGTATGGACCAGACAATCCGGTGGTTGACATCATGAGCATCGATATGCGTAAATAGGATACGATGACATGCATTAACCAAGTCAGCGAGCCTGACCGCCCGATCCCGATAGTCGCCTTTTACGACAAGCTTGGGTTGCTGAAGACCAATTCTAACCTGGATATTCAAGGATGTAACAGAAAAAAATCCAAAAACAATGAAGTCAACAGTTGACCACTTCAATGATAAGTGAGGAAATCAAATGGTTCATTGATTGGAAATTGTCTTCAAGGAAAAAAGACAAAAATAGAAAAGAAAAAATCCTTAAAAGCAAAAGGCACCAGTTTGAAGCTTGATTGATGTAGGTGCAAACTTTGCCAGAGACAAGCAATAGAGAACTGGAGACATTTCTAATCCATGCACAAACACGTTTAGTCAACCATAGGTTCCTGAGGACCAACAGTACCACAGAATCCCCACAAGTGACAAGACCTGACAATAATTTGAATCAATTTGCTAAAATGTGTGTCCTGCCTGTTTGTGACCAATGGCATGGATTGTTTCCCCAGCTTTGACTGGTCTTATCCAGACTTACTTGATGTGATAATACAGCTCTCATCTACCATCTCATGCTTAGTACCAGAATTAAATCCATTTGGATTTGCCAAACACAGCCAGATACCTGTGAGTGAGTGAGTTGGGTTTAACGGCGTGTCAGCTTAATGTGGGAGGAAAGCCTGAAGTGATGCAGGTATCAGACGTTTACCACTTCGGTAAAACCCACGAGTAAAGGTATGGTGCTGACAAACCTAGAAACATAATCGGGGTGAACCGGGATTGGAACCCACAATCATAGGTTTCTGGCATGCCCAAGGGACGCAACTCTGCGCAGCGAATCACGGCCCCTTAGACGACTGGGCCACCCGTGCCCCCCCCGATACCTGTGAAAGTATACGGAGCATACCTTGATTCTTTTCTGCGACGTGTCCGTGCGCAGTGTCTTGAAGATGAGATTGAGGAACATGGCTTGTTTGGAGGATGTCTTCAGGGCCGGGGCAGCCAGCTTCTTGTACAGCGCCACATAGAACCTGTCACTCAGTGCCTCACTGTAACAACGTAATGGACTCAGGTGATACCACACTGTGAGTGAGTTGGGTTTAACGCCGCTTTTAACAGTATTCCAGTTATATCACGGCGTGTCAGCTTAATGTGGGAGGAAAGCCCGAAGTGATGCAGGTCTCAGATGTTTACCACTTCGGTGAAACCCACGAGCACGGGTATGGTGCTGACAAACCTAGAAACATAATCGGGGCGAACCGGGATTTGAACCCACAATCATAGGTTTCTGGCGTGCCCAAGGGACGCAACTCTGCACAGCGAATCGCAGCGCCTCAGACGACAGGGCCACCTGTGCCCCCCTTATCCTGTTACAAAGCTAGTGGACAAAATACTATTGAATCATGTACTATAAAGCCGAACATGATGCAGTTTCACTTCAATATCAGATACTATTTGTATGGCAACACTTCCAAACAATCGGTCTTGTTCAGCCCCAAACAGGACACTCAGAATTAGTCAAATCTAAATATTTTTTACATTTCTATTCTTATTCTGCATTACTCAAAACACGAAATACTATTGAATCATGTCCTTCTGTTAAAGTTAACTTGAGTGAGTGAGTTGGGTTTAACACCGCTTTTAACAGTATTGCAGTTATTTCATGGCATGTCAGCTTAATTTGGAGGAAAGCCCGAAGTGATGCGGATCTCAGACGTTTACCACTTCGGTGAAACCCACGAGCACGGGTGAGGTGCTGACAAACCTAGAAACATAATCGGGGCGAACTGGGATTGGAACCCACAATCATAGGTTTCTGGCGTGCCCAAGGGATGCAACTCTGCACAGTAATTGCGGCGCCTTAAATGGCTAGGCCAGCCGTGCCCCCCAAAATTAACTTGAAATGAAGCCAATCCAGTGATTAATATCATGAGCATTGATCCACGCAATTGGGATCGATGGCATGCATCAACCAAGTAAGCGAGCCTGACCACCCGATCCCGTTAGTCGCCTTTTACGACAAGCATAGTCACCTTTTACGGCAAGCATGGGTTGCTGAAGACCTATTCTACCCCGCAAGTTTCACGGGTCTTAAAATCAGTCTGGAAGGACCCGTACCCAGGGTTTGGTTTGGTTTAGTTTGTTGTTTAACGCCGCACTCAGCCATATTCCAGCTATATGATGGCGGTCTGTAAATAATCGAGTCTTGACCAGACAATCCAGTGATTAATATCATGAGCATCAATCCGAGCAATTGGGATCGATGACATGCATCAACCAAGTCAGCGAGCTTGAATACCTGATCCCGTTAGTCGCCTTTTACGACAAGCATAGCCACCTTTTACGGCAAGCATGGGTTGCTGAAGACCTATTCTACCCCGGAATCTTCACGGGTCTTAAAATCAGTCTGGAAGGACCCGTACCCAGGGTTTGGTTTGGTTTAGTTTGTTGTTTAACACCGCACTCAGCAATATTCCAGCTATATGACGGGTCTGTAAATAATCGAGTCTGGACCAGACAATCCAGTGATTCATATCATGAGCATCGATCCACCCAATTGGGATCGATGACATGCATCAACCAAGTAAGCGAGCCTGACCACCCGATCCCGTTAGCCGCCTTTTACGACAAGCATGGGTTGCTGAAGACCTATTCTAACCCGGAATCTTCACGGGTCTGGAAGGACACGTACCCAGGGCACTGGGACCACTCACCTGGAGTCTGTGACGTGATGAAGCAGCATGAGAGCCTGGACACTGGTGTTGAAGTTGACCAGGTGGACGATCTTGTACAGGCTGTCCAGCTGCTCATTCAGGGAACTCTTCTCACCTGGACCGGATTACATTCACATTAGGACGAAACATCATCAATGGCTTACACAAAAGTCTCCATGGTTATAAAGTCTAGTCTTTGTAGTAGTCTGCATTTTCAAACAACCATCTTGCTGAGGCAAGAGAGTTAACTGACTATAAGAGTGCAGTTTCCACCCTTGCCGAACTAGGCTGGTATTATAAAGTTACATTTTGGCTGGACTAACGAGTCTATGCATAGTCCAATCAAAATCGCGCAACGAAATCGAAATCCGGTTCGTAAACTGTCGTGCAGATTTCGGTCGATTGCAGGATTTGTAAAGCATGTGCACTGCCAACTCGTTGTAAACAGAAATTTTCCAAGTGTTTTCATGTTTTTTTATCAAGGTGCTCACGTGATTTGATGCACTTCGCTATGTAAGACCCGTTTTATCACAATATTGATCTTGAATATCGATCAGATCGTCTTGACTGGGCGCCGCCATTTTGTTTGAAACAAATGTAAGTGATACGACTGGTGGAATCTGATTGTTCCATAGGAGAGGCTTAGAAGGGACATAACTCGTAACAACCACCGGTTGCGCTACGATCGAGACCAGGAATTCCAGCCTAGTTTGGCAAGGGTGGAAACTGGACTTTTAAAGTCAGTGAACTCCCTTGCCTCGGGAAGATGTCAAACAACTTACAATGTGTGGTGAGGTGAAATGGGGTTAAACGTCGCGTTCAGGATTATTGCACATATATAGCGACACTTCAAACCCCAGACCTGCTGAGCAGATACTCCAGGCAGTCACCTACAGTGCATGCTCCAAATGATTCATATCATACAGCGGTATGCCATGTGTCAAGATATGCCATGTTCCAAGGCCTTCTTTTCAGTCTGTATGACTCTTGAAGACTCAATTTGTCGTGAGGTGAGATTTATTGTCGCTACCATGCACGTGGGAGGCACGCCTTACTGTATTGTTATTTGATTGCTGTTTTATAATGCAGTCAGCAATATTACAGCTATATAACAAAAGTTTGTTAATAATTATGTCTGAACCAGATAAACTAGTGGTTGATATTATGAACATCTGGTGACAGATAATCAACAAAGTCCATATATACGTCTAGTCATGTCTAGTCATAACCTTATCTGACACTGAGTCCCCATTAAGAACTGTTCAAAACATTTTAGAATCTGTATTCGTGTATGGATGTTGATTTAAAATAAACTATTTTGTCCCAAACTCTAACGTGAGTTCAGCATTTGGCACAAGTTGAAAAAAATGTGTTGACAGAGGTGGACAGACAAATCAACATGGTGTCACCAGTAATTACCATTTTTTTACCAGTAAAATTAGGCATGGACCGGTAATTTATGTGACTGTCAGTCCCTGTGGACCGGCAAATAAAGTACCTTATAAATCTTTGTTGTTGAAAAAAACATCGGTGATATTCATGTAAGTACATTTTTCGAACAAAGTCAGCTTGTCTGTTACCATCAGGGTTTCCCCTTGTCTATTTCTAGGTTAAATATCCAGTTGTAGTGACTTAGTGACTGAACTTTATGTGAATGACGTACAGATCTAACTAAGTTACTTCAGAGATGACATCTTTTCATTGAACATGAAGTTGAAAGAATTAAAACCAAATAATTTTCATTTCCATTTGTTGAAAGTTGGGACTGTCAAAAATCAGGGGGGACTGGTAATTTTTAGATATACCATGGACTGGCGGGAACACTGCAACAAAGTTGCTACATTCACCCACCGTGACTGCAACACCTTGTACAGCACTGTAGTTTACCCAAGATGCATGATGACGTTTGATTGTTGAGGTTATTAGACAAACCTAATTTCTAGAATTCAAATCTAATAACGATTTTGTACTGGCGAATCTAAAGCCTCTAGATCTACTACTTCATTAGTACGCGACAAGCTCGGATCAAACAGCTTGTAAACAGTCACACGTCCACTAGCAGCAAGAATGTACAGGGTGGTCATTGGTCTCACCTCTAGCGTATGGGAAGGCCCGGTGGACTCCCGTCAGCAGGGCGCTCATCATCTTGCTGTCAATCTCCCCTTTCTGGACAAACGCCTGGAACACACACATAATGCCATTGATCTTGCATTGACATAGAAACAGGTACACGCACATAGTGAACAAGCTTGCAGCATCATCATGGGATGGAGTGACTTGGGTTTAACACCGCTGGGAACAGTATTATAGTTATATCACGGTATATATAGTGCCAGCTTAATGTGGGAAGAAAGCCCAAAGTGATGCAGGTCTCAGACGTTTACCACTTCGGTGAAACCCACAAGCACGGGTATGGTGCTGACAAATCTAGAAACATAATCGGGGCGAACCGGGATTGGAACCCATGACAGGTTTCTGGAGTGCCCAAGGGACGCAACTCTACACAGTGAATTGTGGCGCCTTAGCCGACTGGGCCACCCGTGCCCCCCGTTGCGAGTCCAGGCTCACAATCCATGAGTGTCGATAGTTATGCAATCATGAGCCATGATGAGTGAGTGAATACTGCTAAATGCTGCATTCAGCATAATTCCAGCTAAACCATTGTCCGTCAAATAATCAAGATAATCAATCAATAACATTTGACCAAATATGTCAAAGGCGTTAGTGTTCGAAAGCAATTCCGAGCTAAGAAGAATTCCAGTGACAATGGGCACTATTAACGTTTCAATCTTGTGTAATAATTTAACAACCATTCAGAAAATATACTTTATATCTGTGTTGAACAATGTACCCTATCTTAGGCAGAGACTTGCATCACAAGTTTTCATCAACAAAACAGTTGCTTCTGGCACAACAAAAAACACACACTGACTAGGGAAAAGACTTCATCGTTAGGACTATGAGTGACTTCAGAGAGGGGAGGGTGCACAATATCTGTTTTGTTTGTTTGTTGTGTTAGGTGGCAGGAAGCAATATTCCAGGTGTATTATGGCGGGTTGGTATAAACCATGCCCTCAGTCAGTCAGTGAGTGAGTTGTGTTTAACGCCGCTTTTAACAGTATTCCAGCTATATCGGGTGTGTCATCTTAATGTGGGAGGAAAGCCTGAAGTGATGCAGGTCTCAAACGTTTACCACTTCGGTGAAACCCACGAGCACAGGTATGGTGCTGACAAACCTAGAAACATAAACGGGGCGAACCGGGATTGGAACCCACAATCATAGGTTTCTGGCCTGTCCAAGGGATGCAACTCTGCACAGCGAATTGCGTCGCCGTGCCCCCAATGCCCTCGGGATGTGATGACATGCATCATCCTGAATACCCAATCCAATGCCGTTGCCTCTTGCAACAGTGTGCCGCTCTCTCTTCCATGTGTGTGAATAGCTTACCCTGAAGAAGGAGAAGTATATCTTGATGAGTTGCGAGGCCAGCTCTTCATCCTCTGCATCCAGGACGATCTGGTTGAGGAAACACATCGCATAGTATCTGAAACAAACAATCATCTTCAACATTTTGTCTGTGCAATTTTATCCTCAAACAACTCCTTATGTTTCGCATAAGGAGTTTGTTTGTTTGTTTGTTTGTTTGTTGGCCGTAAAACACTGCAATGAGCAATATTCGAGCCACATCAATGTGGGATGGTTATTTCGAGCTTCAAAATAATTCTCTTTCCATAAAAGGAAATAAAATGTCGAAACTATTAAAAGATACACTGTTAATGACTTGTAAAGTCATCTAAATCCTTGTCTATTTAGTGAGTAAGTGAAGCGGTACAGTTTCACGCCGCTTTTGGCAGAGGACACCAGAAATGGGTTTCTCACATAGTACCCATGTGGGGAATCGAACCGGGCCTTGACCTTGAGGAGCGAACACTTTAACCACTAGGCTACCCCACTGCTCCTATTGAAGATCTTCCCGTGAAGATTCCGGGGTAGAATAGGTCTTCAGCAACCCATGCTTGCCGTAAAAGGTGACTATGCTTGTCGTAAAAGGCGACTAATGGGATCAGGTGGTCAGGCTCGCTGAGATGGTTGATGCATGCCATCGATCCCAATTGCGTGGATCGATGCTCATGATATCAATCACTGGATTGTCTGGTCCAGACTCGATTATTTACAGACCGCCGTCATATAGCTGGAATATTGCTGAGTGCGGCGTTAAACAACAAACCAACCAACTATTGAGACAAAGTAGCGATAATACTCACTGCGCCCTTGCGGAGATGTTTGGTCTGTACAGGATCACCTCCACGGCGTTCACCACCACGGAGTTCATGTTGGGGTGCTGACTCACTGCACAAGTGGACAAGAACAATTGACAACATCTCACATGTGAGTACATGATGAGGCTGGAAGGCTGAACTGATATTATTAGTTATGGTGTCTTCAGTTGCCGTATACGTTGTCGTATAACACATCGCCTAATATTTTCCTGCTTACCTAATATGACACCATATACGGCAACTAACTAAAGACACCATAACAAATTTATTATGCCGAAAAGTTTACACTCTCTGGCATCCATATCACATATGTCATATCAAAGTGAAAACTTGACACTAACAAGGGTGCATTGAGGGTCAAAGGGAGACTACTCTTCAAACCTTAGCGGCCAAACCTTGTTGAATTTTTTTAACTATAATCTTTATCAATAAAGTCACGAACATGATCTAAAACACAGATTAAAGTCCTTGCACATCACAAATTATGATAGTAAACCACAAAAAAGTGTCAAATAACAAATTTCAGTACCAGATTTTCCATGTGAGATATGTGAGGTGGGTGTTGGAAAATCAAAGATGGCTGTTACTGATAGTATACGGTCTCATATTAGGTCAGTATCATCTTGGATTTTTACTGACGTTATTCAAGCTCGTGTGTTGTCAGTAGATCTTATCTCTGATTGGTCAGTCTCACTTTGAGGCATAACAGAGCTCCAGATAAGCTGCGTATCTGCGTAAAATACGCATCAGACATGCAGAAATACGCAGTAAAATAAAATCCAAGCGTATCAAATACGCAACAAACATTACAGATATGCTACAAATATAAAATATTGTGAAGTAACCCTGCGTATTCGATTAGCAAATCAGCAACTTATTTTGAAATTATAAACGGGCATTCCGACAACCTTGCCAAACTCCACGATGACAGTTACATCATGATCATTTGCCATCACACTTTCTTGTGGAAGTATCGTGGTATTTTTGAGTCCTATAAAGCTCTCAAACCCACACGACACCAGTTTGCAGGGACTTGATGAATAGTGTTTTTAAATATTTAACTTAAATACCCACATGTGTAAAAACTAGTGGGTAACAGAAATTTGAACACCCAGATAGAATTACTGATACCCAATGATTTTAAAATGCATGGGTAAAATACCCACAACACCAAAAGCTTATCTGGAGCTCTGCATAATAAAGCATGACATTAAACACAGCTCCATATCTGATGCACTTTATCCTGTATTCGCACATAATCCGTGACATGATCGACCGGCGAATGGCCGAGCATCTAGGGCTGGGACGAGTCCTTATTTACTACCCGGGTACCCACATCCCTATTACCCAACCCTACCCGGGTACCCGTTGTTGGTGTCAAGAGATAGGTATAAAATGTCCGAATGGGAATAGTTTGACAGTAGCCCTGGCGGAATGTTTTTAGATACATGTATAAAACGATGTGGTCATGCATACACTGAAGTTGACTGAAGTTTTAGCTTTGTTCAAACATATGAAAAGTCAGAAGGAACGTGTTCATAGTCATGAAGAAATGCGAACAGTAGAGACTTAAAATTGTCGTGTAACCATGTAGTTATAAGTGAATTTTTGTCATGAAACAATATATCACGTGACTAACCACGGGTCCGGGTAGTCCTGTGGGTACACGGGTCCTACTCAGTCCCCACCCGACCCGAGTACCCGAGTTACCCATCCCAGCCCTACGAGCATCATATTGTTAGTTTGTCAGGCATTTCTTAGGAGAGAGTACATTCCATATCAAAGAAACTTTGGCAATGAATTAAGCTCCTTGGGTTCCAAAGCTTCTGACATCTCTCTATGTGAGGCGTAGAATTTATCAATCAACCGTTGTTAATCTACTGACACCTGTCATGATAGCGAGAGACCACTCAACATGTACTGTTCACATCATACAGTGATATTGGAGTATTCTTACAGCTCTAAAATTATCTCCCCTTACCCAGTCAACCAGCAAGCTCCTTCCCAGTATGTGACACCTTCGTTACACTCTCGGTAACATCGCTGCCACCAGTGTGGGCGCAATGGCCATTACAAGATTCTTGATATTTGCCCTCTAATCCCAAATGTAGTAACGTTCATACTTTTGTTTATGTCATGGGAATGCCAATACAGTTATTTTTTAAAAGGTTTACGACTAATCATATTTCCCAGATGAATTTAACATTTTGTTTGTTTGATCAGATTCGTTCGAGAATGCAGACGAACAAAAAATCACCCATATTCCCCCTTACGTTCTTACCATATCAATTACATGATAGTTGAAATGAAATAGAAATTCAGATTGATTAAATTTAGTTAGGGTAAGAGTATTCGGTGTCACGGCAGTCATCGCTTGTTTGTAAAAATAACGGTCCGTTGGTTGCGAGTTCAACTCCAAGCATGGTTGTGACCACCTATCACAGTGGGGAGTTTTGACTGGTGGCAGCGATAGTATAGAGAGCTCCGGGAACGGGCTATCGCTGTGTGGAGCTTGAGTCAACCTTCTTTAATTAGGTAGGCAGAGCTAGTGACATCTACAATTATCTAAGTTGCTTAATCATCAGCTTATCAGATTCAGAATTAGAATCAGATTGCTCAAACATACGCTTGTTTTAGACAAAGTAGAGAAGGTGTTACCATGGTTACTGGTTCATGCTAGATGTCAATCAGAGATGTCTGGCCAAGATGCATTCAATGTCAGACTGCTGTAGTTTGCTTACCCAGTTTGGTGAGGAGGTGAGAAGCCTTGGCGGCAATCTTGTAGTCGGGATCTCCCAGCTTGTTTGCCATCATAGGCAGCAGCTCCTACAGAAACATGGCAAGTAGTGCATTCTTTAACCAACATTCAGTCTGCACAACATACCGTATCATTTTCCAGGTTGGAATGCTTGGGGATGTGTCATCTTCCCGAGGCAAGGGAGTTAACTGACTTTAAAAGTCCAGTTTCCACCCTTGCCGAACTAGGCTGGAATAACTGGGCTCGATCGCAGCGCCACCAGTGGCTATTACCAATTATGTCCCTTCTAAGCCTCTCCTAAGGACCAATCAGAATCCACCTCTCGTATCACTTGCGTTTGCTTCACACAAAATGGTTGCGCCCGGTCAGGACGATCTGATCGATAATCAATATCTATATTGTGATAAAATGGGTCTTACATCGCGAAATGCATCAAATCACGTGAGCACCTTGATTAAAAACAAGATTTGAAAATATCTGCTGACAACGAGTTGCTTTGCAAATCCTGCAATCAACCGAAATCTGCACGACAGTTTACGAACCGGATTTCAATTTCGGTGCGCGATTTTGATAGGACTATGCATAGACTCGTTAGTCCAGCCAAAATGTAACTCCATAATACCAGCCTAGTTCAGCAAGGGTGGAAACTGGACTTTTATAGTCAGTTAACTCTCTTGCCTCGGGAAGATGGCGCAGTACTTTCTATGGGTATTTATCCCTTCGAGTTTGAAATGAAAATTAACAAATCAAAGCTGACAACCTTCTTTGTACAGTGTCTGAAACTAGCCATCTTCCATTTGATTATCAACTGATATCAGTTCAATCTTTTGTGACCATTGTAAGACTTGCAGTGGCAGGTCCAGGGTCCACTTGCACAAAGCGATCTTAGCGCTAAGATGATCGTAACTCCCATACTTTAACATAGGCTTACAATAGTCGTAGTGCTAAGATCGCTTTGTGCCAGTGGGCCCAGGAGTTGAAAAAGGAGAGTGCACATAATAGCCGAGTCATGAAGTGACTTGGCCGAGCAAACCCCCTGCATCCCCCCTCTGGATCCCCCCCGTGTCCTATGATCCCCACTCACCTTCTCCCCCTCCGGCTTGCTGGTCAACAGCTGGTATATTGTACCTGTGGCAGGAAACATCACATAGTTAAATGGGGGACAGTGGCATGATGGGTGTTAACCACCAAAGTCAGGTTTATTAACAAATTTCTCTCTTGTTTTCTTACTGACCGCCTCCGTGGTCTAATGGTAGAGCGTCCGACCGACCGAGAGCGGAAGGTCGGGGTTCGATCCCTGACCGCGTCATACCAAAAGACGTTAAAAGATGGTTCTTGTTATTACCCTGTCTGGCACTCGGCATTAAGGGACTAAAACAAGGCATGGTATCTCAGTGAGCTAGCACTATAAATCAGCATCAGTCTGGACTAGTACAAACACACACACGTACATGCACATCGCTATATAAGTGCAATAATCTTGGACGCGACATTAACCCCCATTTCACCTCACCTCACCTTGTTTTCTTACTCAAGTTCATTTTGAATGGAAAACAAGCTTGTGATAAGCAGAATATTTTTCTGCGGAATCCTTCAGCTACACTTAACATATCACATTTGTATTATGATTTCAACACCATATATAACTCAAATAGTCAGTGTTTATTGTTTAGCCAACACTCAGCAATATTCCAGCCACTTGACAGCAGCCTGTAAATAATCAAGTCTAGACCAGACAATCCAGTGACTGATATTATGAGCAATGTCCGTGCCTTTGGGGTAGGATGAAAAGTGATTAAGTGAGTGAGTGAGTGAGTTGGGTTTAACTCCGCATTTAACAGTATTCCAGTTATATCACGGCGTGTCAGCTTAATGTGGGAGGAAAGCCCGAAGTTATGGAGATCTCAGACGTTTACCACTTCGGTGAAACCCACGAGCACGAGTATGGTGCTGACAAACCTAGAAACATAATCGGGGCGAACCGGGATTCGAACCCACAATCATAGGTTTCTGGCGTGCCCAAGGGATGCAACTCTGCACAGCGAATCGCGGCGCCTTAGACGACTGGACCACCCGTGCCCCCCAAAAGTGATTAAGCCTGACCACCCAATTCTGTAGTCGCATCATTTGACAAGCGTAGAGTGGTAGGGACCAATTCTAACCCAGAATTCCCCTGAGGGGAAGGAAAAAGTCACTGGCATATGTGCACATTACTTACTTAAAGCTTTCTGTTTGGGTGCTGTCAATATATCGTGTGACATCGTCTGAAATATAACATCAATTTCAGGTGCATCAAAAAACATAATCTATGATCAAACGATAATTACTTGCAACAGTTTCGTCTTTAGACAAGAAGTCTGTGTACACATTATTTATAAACCTATTTATTGGGATCGCTATTAAGTAAGAGACTTCTTTCAATAGGCATTAAAACCTATTGTGAGGTTTTACTTTCCAGTCGGGTTAAATCTCATAAACTGGGACTTTCTAATGTCCCTGGGATTTTATATAATATCCCAGGGATTTTATAGGATATTCAAGTCATATTTGCTATATAATGTGTTATAATATCCCAGGGATTTTATATGATGTCCTGGGTATATTATTAATATAACTTCCGTTCAGATTGTAACATGTAATGAAATGTAAAATCAAATGACAAATGTTTTCTTTATATTCCCGAGGATCGAACTCGCAACCTTCATATCTGTAGCCCAGTGAGTGTACCACGAGGCTACAGAGGTGTTGATAAGCCACAGTTTTTTAGAATGTCTTTTTCAAGATCCGTACGCCAGCAACAGATATTTTATGCGCGTTTCCTAAAGTTCATGGAAAGAATGTTCGAAACATAAAAATGTTGATAAATGTTGTTTTAGGTTTCTTTTTTCGGTTCATAAGTATGGAAAAACACTTTCTCTCGGTTTTGGTAGACAGAGCATGCCCTGGGGAGAGGGAAAAACCAAGGGGGCAAAGCCCCCTTGGTTTTTCCCTCTCCCCAGGGCATGCTCTGTCTACCAAAACCTCGTAAGCGTGTTTTCTCAAATACCTCAACATGTGTTCAACAGTTATTAGAAGAAATCAAAGGCTAAGAAGTTATCTCACATCAACAGCTTTGATAAATGCAGCATATTTCTCCTTCAGTTGATCTTCAAAACGCCACAGCATGAGTATCTTGTCAATGGTGTCCTTGTTTCCACTGGCAAATCTTTCAAGTCCGGGTAAAGATTGCTGCAACACATACACACAACTCTGAATTGATGTGCAGGGAACAACAGATATGTAACACTTGAGTTCCCTGACCTTATTCATGTTTCCCTTGACCACATCACACAACCACAACAGTGAGTGAGCCCCTTAATGCCAAGCGCCAGACAGGGTGACAACAAGTACCATCTTTTAACATCTTTTGGTATGACGCGGCCGGGGATCCAACCCTGGATCTTCCGCTCTCCGGGCGGATGCTCTACCACTAGACCACGGAGGCGGTCATGAGTGAGTGAGTGAGTGAGTGAGTGAGTGAGTGAGGTGAAATGGGGTTTAACATCGCATCCAAGATTATTGCACTTATATAGCGACGTGCATGCACGTGTATGTGTGTGTGTGGCTGCTTGTACTAGCCCGGACTGATGCCGATTTATAGTGCTAGCACACTGAGATATACCATGCCGCAGTTTAACATGAATACCCCACTCAGACACAGTATACTGACTCCGAGCCGACCAGTCATTGTTTTAGCCCCTTAATGCCGAGCGCCAGACAGGGCAACAACAAGTACCATCTTTTAACGTCTTTTGGTATGACGCGGCTGGGGATCGAACCCCGGACCTTCCGCTCTCCGGGCGGACGCTCTACCACTAGACCACGGAAGCTTCATACTCACCTGATTGTACACACTCAAAGAAATATCAGCAACTCTCAATGACAGTCAAGTCTCCTTAAACCGACACTCTTTAATCCGACACTCGGCTTTATCCGACACAAATGATGGGAACTGATTGATTCAGTGCTATTTAGTCCCTTTAATCCGACATTCTCGCACTCCTACTCCGACACACATAATTTGCAACGAATTACCGAAATCACTCATTAATCAGTCTCGTTAATCCGACACAGTGGTCAGCGTACCCCGTGGTCATCTGCCCGCGAGTACACAACCCCGTGTTTTGACAGGCACTGGCTGCAGAGATTAACTTAACAATTAACAGGAAAAGCTATTCAAACCTGTATGCAGAAAGCTATACAAATGTAGTTTACAAATTGAAGCCAGATAAATGTGCATGAAGCCAGTATAAAATACGAACAGGTATATAAAACATGGTCGACTCACCAAAGTATTACAAGGTACACACGGTTATTATCTATCGTGAAGACGTCCGATTTTCGATCACAAATCACTTAATTTCGTTAATCCGACATACTCGTTATTCCGACACAATCATGTGCAACCAACAATGTTGGGTTAACGAGACTTGACTGTACATCATGCTGGCTAGTTCAACAGAATACTGAAGAGTCATTAAAGTCATACCTGATGAAAACTTTTCAGTTTTCTGTGGCTTGGCAACAGGTCAGACAGGAACAGATCCCTCAATGCATCTAGCAGACAAGGGAGACAACGTGATTAACACACCATCAACACAATGTGTATACTATAAGACGCATTGGACAAATACTAGGGCTGTCACGATAAATCGAAATATCGATATATTGCTATTGGTAAGCACTTAAAGTCAATAAATCGATTGTTAAATCAGTTTCCGATCAATAGCATCAATTTCAGTTAGGAATATCGATAGTTTCGATTGTATTTACCATATAAATAAAATACATGCAATTTCTTTTTCTTTTGATCATGTGTGGTAGTCATTTACACATGGTAATGTGAAAGTTGTTTTTTTTCGAAATTATTAGGGTAAAAAAAAAAAATTAAAACTTTACTTTTTATTTGTTATGGTTATCACAAAGGAAACTTCAGTTCCAAGGTTTAATTCAACTCTAAAATCCATCTAAAATGGTACACTGAAAACTTTCGATAGTTATCGCAATAGTTTTTTTCAATATCAATAGTTATCACAATAGTTTCTTACAATATCAATAGTTATCACAATAGTTGCTTGCAATATCAATAGTTATCGCAATAGTTTCTTACAATATCAATAGTTATCACAATAGTTTCTTTCAATATCAATAGTTATCGCAATAGTTTCTTTCAATATCAATAGTTATCGCAATAGTTTCTTTCAATATCAATAGTTATCGCAATAGTTTCTTTCAATATCAATAGTTATCGCAATAGTTTCTTTCAATATCAATAGTTATCACAATAGTGATTTCCAGACCAATAGTCACCCCTAACAAATGCTGACTGATTCTGTTTCAATGACGAATTTGTCAATCAAAAACAAAATCCCTCACCAGCTCCTCAGAAGATTATTACACTAACATAGAGACGTGCAGGACTAATGCTGGTTTTATATGCTAGCCCACTAGAAACCATGCTGCAGTTTAACGTGAGTACCCCACTCATACCCGACAGTATACTGACTCCAAGCCGACCAGTCCTTGTTTTATTCATTAATGCTGTGTGCTGGAGAGGTTGGTTGGTTCGTTTGTTGTTTAACGCCGCACTCAGCAATATTCCAGCTGTATGACGACGGTCTGTAAATAATCGAGTCTGGACCAGACAATCCAGTGATTGATATCATGAGCATCGATCCACGCAATTGGGATCGATGACATGTATCAACCAGGTCAGCGAGCCTGACCACCCGATCCCGTTAGTCGCCTTTACGACAAGCATAGTCACCTTTCACGTCAAGCATGGGTTGCTGTAGACCTATTCTACCCTGGAATCTTCACGGGTCCCGCTGGAGAGGGTAACAAGCACCATCTGTTAACATCTTTGGGGACCCGTGAAGAGCCTCAGAATTTTTCCATTTTTATCAACTTGTGTTGATATATTTGATATCAAAAGACACTCAGGTGAGATTCTCTATTTATCATCCAAAACTGGCTCCCACAGGAGATATTGCTTGGATGAGATCAAGCGATATCTACACTGTAGATATCGCTGCAGACCATTGTGACTTCACTGGTTACCATGACGTCACAATCAAATGACATCACTAATGGCTCTGCAACTGAAGCTGTTTTTTTACACTGAAGACACTGCTAATTACTGACTACAAATTGAAAAAGTTGGAAGAATGATGTTGGATGATAAATAAAATCTCCCCCTCATGTCTTTTGATATCAAATATATCAACACTCTTGATAAAAGTGGCAAAAATCCCCTTTTATCAACTCGTGTTGATATATTTGATATCAAAAGACACTAGGATGAGATTCTCTATATATAACCATAGTCCTTTTTTCTCAAAAAAGAAAAGTTAGTGGGTTTCCCGATCACAGCGTAGCCGCCTCCGTGGTCTTGTGGTAGAGCGTCCGCCTGGAGAACGGAAGCTCCGGGGTTCGATCCCCGACTGCGTCATACCAAAAGACGTTAAAAGATGGTACTTGTTGTTACCCTGTCTGGCGCTCGGCAATAAGGGGCTTAAACAAGGACTGGTCGGCTCGGAGTCAGTATACTATGTCTGAATGGGGTATTCATGTTAAACTGCGGCATGGTATCTCAGTAAGCTAGCACTATAAATCGGCATCAGTCCGGACAAGTACAAGCAGCCACACACACACAAACGTGCATGCATGTCGCTATATAAGTGCAATAATCTTGGACGCGACGTTAAACCCAATTTCACCTCACCTCACCGATCACAGCGTAGTTAAAGACAGGTGGAGATAAATGCTAATTACCAACTGCAGCCATTGCTTCCCTTTTGCCTTTCTTCTTGGCCATGTTGACCAGACTCTCCATGCTGGTGAGATTGTGTACTGGGGACTCCCCAGCCAGGAGGGTGAGGGCGGCCATCTTGTCCGACAATGTGCCGGACGCCAGCACTGTCTTCATCCACTTTGTGTCGGATCGTTTGCTGTTTTCACGTTCTGGAGTACAATAAGTCATAATACAGTCATGATGATGTAACATGTGGTAAATTGCTTTATTTTAATGTTGCATTTAAAAAGGGGGGCCCACAAAATCTAATAGTTCGTCACTCAGTTACTGCAGCTTTGGCATTCTTTATCGTGTCAACCGTGGTCAAAGGGGAAGCAACTCTATGTAAGCACATCCTTATATGGTATTTCAGCTAAGGGGTTCTCATCTTTGCCTTCATGAGACTCGCCATTTTTGACAGTAAAGCACCGAGAGAACATCAGCTATTAGATTTTGTGGGCCCCCCTTTTTAAATGCAACATTAAAATAAAGCAATTTACCACATGTTACAATGAACATTTTGGTGTAAACAGCATATTGATATCTTATCTTGCACTATGCATCACTATGCGGGTAAAGTCAATATGACATAGGAGGGAAATCCAGCCAAAAAAGGAAATGTATTCTCTGAACTCTCAGTGCAAGTTTCCACAGGGTGGCAATGAGAAAGAGAATGACGTGACTGGGGTAATCACGTGATCAGGTCATGTAGGTTGCTATGCACAAAATTACAGTGCCATGACCCATTTGTTTGGGTGGTGACCTTGGTGATGCTGGGATGTGTTTCGGTGATTTGTTTTAAAAGCTGGAAACTTTGTTCAAGTGCATTTACACATAGGATCAAAAGAAGAATGAAGAAACGTATCGTATGAGATAGGATAAGTTTAAGAATTAAAGTTTGTGAAAGTTATTCCACGTATACTGAGGGCATTATCATTACGGAGGCCACTTTAATATGATCAAAATTTTAACGTGGACGAATTTGAGTGTTTAGTAAGCTAATGTAATGTAAACATGAATTATCATGACTATAGGGGGGGTCGGGAAGCCTAGTGGTTAAAGCGTTGCTCGTCCTGCCGAAGACCCGGGTTCGATTCTCGACATGGGTACAATGTGTGAAGCCCATTTCTGGTGTCTTCTGCTGTGATATTGCTGGAATATTGCTAAAAGCGGCGTAAAACCATACTCACTCACTCACTATCATGACTATGAATCAGAGCCAGACAGTTGTTGATGACACAACAAGGGACATTTTGATTGTCGCACCTACGTATATTGTTTGAAAGCCTTGAACATACTCAAGGTGAAGGATACCGTAGTGTCTAAATGACCCATGGCGTTATGGCAGTACAGTCGGCTGGGGCTAAGTGCTATCTAGGGCTGGGACGAGTCCAAATTTACTACCCGGATACCCACCCCCCTATTACCCGACCCTACCCGGGTACCCTTTGTAGGTCTCAAGAGATACAAAATGTCCGATTGGGAATTTTTTTTACCAAAGCACTTGCAAAACGTATTTAGATACATGCATTAAACGATCTGGTCATGCATGCACTGAAGTTGACTTAAGTTATATCTTTATTCAACCATATTAAAAGTCAGAAGGAATGGGTGCATAGTCAGAAAGAAATGCGAACATTATTGACTTGTAGTGTAACCATAGAGTTCAAGATCATTTTTGTCATTAAACAATATATCACGTGACTAACCACGGGTCCGGGTAGTCCTGTGGGTACCCGGGTCCTACTCAGTACCCACCCGAATTACCCGTCCCAGCCCTAGTGCTATCTATCCGTCACTGATGATGATGGTTGAAGCATTTAGCATCGAACAAAAGTTAATGATACTCTCCTCATGTTCTCACGTTTTGTGTAGAGAGCCACCTCATCAGCCAACAGCTTGGATGCAAAGTCCTCCATCTGCTGTACTGCAGACTCGGGGGTCTGGCCGATGTTGACGGTCTCATCCTGACCAAAAAAAGTAAATCTATTATTAAAAGTAAAAAAGTAAGAATAAATGAATGACACATCAAGGGAAATTTCATTTTGGTTTGGTTAATGCTGCTATGAACAATATTTCGGTTTCATCACATTGTGTAAGCATAATTGGGAGGAAAGCCCATAGCAATGCAAGGAATCCAGAATCATCATTACAGGATCCTGGCCTGCCTAAGGGATGTACTCTACAGAGCGGTCTGTGACCTTTGTCCCAGATCTGTAGTAGCTGCTGAATACTGACAAAGAATGACATTTTTTGACCTCTCAAAACTTGCTTCAATGTTGTTGTTTACTGATCATGTTGTCCAGTTGTGGTGTTGAGGTGCCGTAAAGGTATGTAAACAGTTCAACATACCTCATCATACCATCTCTCTGCCCCCTTGAGGACGAGGTACTTGCGAGGTTTGTAGGTTGCGATGTGCTTATCCCAGTCCACCCTGATGCTCCTGAGTGAGCTGTAGTCCGCCATCACGGGATCAGTTGAACTTGAAATTTCATCATCCTGGACTTTGAACTTATTTTTCTTCTTTTTCTTTTTTGTTGAACTGGAAATGGCCTGCGTCTGTTCCTCTAGAGTCACAGTTTCTTCCTTGTCTTCATCTTTCGGAGATGACACATCTTCATCATCCGCGTCGTCTTCATCAGGAATGATGCTGCAGGCAACAAATTGATTTCAATTATCCTATGTTCAGGCTCAAATGATGCACTGGCTTTGACTTACCCCAGCCTATGGACGGTTAAAGTTTCAAAAACCTAGTGAAAGGAAGAAGGTAATTTAGCATTGCCTAGCTTATGGCTTATTCAACCACAGTGTTAAAATAATTTCTGAGCTCCTATGAAACTGTCCTTGCACCTTCAACAGCAATAAAACAACAAGCACATACCTTTGCTCTCTGTACTTGTGTAGTTCAAGTTTCTTGATGAGATTACGGATCTGGACAAAAATTACAATCTCATTAGTGAGTGAGTGAGTAAGTTGGGTTAAACGCCGCTTTTAACAGTATTTCAGTTATATCACAGCATTTCAGCTTAATGTGGGAGGAAAGCCCAAAGTGACGCAGGTGTCAGATGTTTACTACTTCGGTGAAACCCACAAACAGGGGTATGTTACTGACAAATCTAGAAACATAATCGGGGGGAACCAGGATTGGAACCCATAATCATAGGTTTCTGGCGTGCCCAAGGGACGCAGCTCTGCACAGTGAATCGCGGCGCCTTAGACGACTGGGCCACCCGTGCCCCTACAACCTCATTAAGTGCAGACACATTACCATCACAAAAATCATGGCTGATATGACACATCTATACCAGGGGATGATATCAATGACAGTGACTGAAATGACAAAATGCTTCAGGCAATCAACTGATCATCATTTTCCCACCGGATCACTTATCACACTGAGTGACAGAAAAGGGAGACAACCACTCCTGAAAACAATGGAAAAGAAAGTCATACCTCATCATGTTTGACTGGTTCTGTGTCAAAGTCCTCCTCAAAGCCCTCAATGTCCTCTTCATTGTCCTCCAACTCTGCTACTAGCTGCAGGTCATTCTGAACAACAGCAAAAACAGTCAAGCCTTTCATGTTTTGAAGCCGATTTATTGAAAAAAGTAGGACAATTTATGGATTACAACTTCTTTATTTACTAGGGGCGGTGGGGTAGCCTAGTGGTTAAAGCGTTTGCTCGTCACACCAAAGATCCGGGTTCAATTCCCCACAAAATCCAATCAACCAATCACGCGCCAGATATTGCAGTAAGCATGTCTATTTCAAAGCTTTACAATAAAGCTCTTCACAGTGACACTTCATTCCCTGAGGGTAATGAGTGTGTGAGTGAGTTGGGTTTAATGCCAATTGAAACAGTATTCCAGTTATATCGCGGCGTGTCAGCTTAATGTGGGACGAAAGCCCGAAGTGATGCAGGTCTCAGACGTTTACCACTTCGGCGAAACCCACGAGCACGGGTATGGTGCTGACAAACCTAGAAACATAATCGGGGCGAACCGGGATTCGAACCCACAATCATAGGTTTCTGGCATGCCCAAGGGACGCAACTCTGCACAGCGAATCGCGGCACCTTAGATGACTGGGCCACCGGTGTCCCTGAGGGTTATGAAGGTGGCACGAATGAGGGAGCTGTTTGTATACACACTGCATGTAATGCTCATCCTGTGGTATTCGGTTTGATTGCACCTAACTGCAATGAGTAGGTGATAATTCTTGCGTCATAACACAGTGTCCCACACTAGAATAATTACCACCTAGGAATTTCAACAGACGTAAATGTAGTTATTCTTCATTTAAGAATGGAACCAGGGGCTCTATCACCAAATAATTTGTGCTCTTCACTGAGTGATCAGCTCCTGATAGTTTACCTTATTGCCCATGCGCGTTAGTCATGTATCTCCGCGAATTTCGAAATTTGTTAAAAATTCTTAGGATATGGGTAAAATGAAAACCCGTGGCAGGAATTTGCCCCCAAACCAGGCAGTATTTGAAATCGAGGTTATGGCTGGAAATCTTTGCACCATATGATTGTAAAGGGTAGGGCGGGGACGGGTAACTCGGGTAGCCGGGACGGGTGGGGGGTTATAGCGAAAACGGCACCTCAGCAAAACGGCACCGATTGGCGAAAACGGCACCTCGACTCAAGCGAAAACGGCACCTCGACTCGAGCGAAAACGGCACCTTATTTTTTTTTTTTACCTTGGTCAAATGAATGATATTAAACTTACATTGTAACTTGCAAAGGCCAATAATTGTGAGATGTTAAAACAAGTTTACATTAGAAATTAGCCTCTGCTCCAACTATAATCCAACTTAGCTTATACGCAACTCAACTTATGGTGAAAACATAACATGCTTTGACGAAAGATAATAGAAATTAAACTCACATCGTCTCTTACAAACACAAATATTTGTGAAATAAAACAAATAAGAAATTAGCCCCCTACTCCAATTTAATCACTGACTTTTATTCACTATACGCTTTGAAGTTTTAAGTACCTTTACTCAATTTAAGCTGAAACTGTATTTGAGGCCTAACATGGTGCTGTCAGATCACAATTATTCACAATGGCCTTTCGATGTGTTGCATGCGAGAAGAATGACAGAAAAAAATCAACATGCTGTATCATGTGATAACTGTGACAACTGGAACCGGACTTTCTATGGCCCGTTATAGAGAAATTTGGCGTACTGACTTCCCTTTCCGCTGTGTGAAATGCGTAGCTCCCGTCATTGAAGAGGTGATCGGTAACTTTCATGTCAGTTTCCAGTCAGAAGATGCTGAAGAAATGAGAGTACCAAACCTATCGGAAATTCACATTACGGCCTCAGATGTACTCAATACATCAAATACCATGTAAATAAACCCTATATATTACTACAAAAATAGTTGTTTATCGTTATTAAACATAGAGGTTCCGTTTTCGCCCGACACATAGTAGCCGTTTTCGTCAAATGCGGTGCCGTTTTCGCCAGAGAAATCGGTGACGTTTTGCTGAGGTGCCGTTTTAGCCTGCACCCCGGGTGGGTACTGAGTAGGACCCGGGTACCCACTGGACTACCCGGACCCGTGGTTAGTCACGTGATATATTGTCTAATGACTAAAATTATCTGGAACTCTATGGTTATATTACAAGTCATTAATGTTCGCATTTCTTTCTGACAATGCACCCATTCATTCTGATTTTTCATATGGTTGAATAAATATGTGACTTAAGTCAACTTCAGTATATGCATGACCAGATTGTTTAATACATGTATCTAAATACGTTTTGCAAGGGCTATGCTTAAACAGTTTCCAATCAGACATTTTATGGCATCTCCCGAGACCTAGAGTGGGTACCCGGGTAGGGTAGGGTAATAGGGGAGCGGGTACCTGGGTTGTAAATTTGGACTCGTCCGAACCCTAGTAAAGGGGTACATATAACTCATAAGGATCATAAATGGTTATTTGATTGATATCGGGTGCTGTTCCTTAAGTGAGTAAGGTTTTACGCAAGTTTTAGCAATATTCCAGAAATATCATGACAGGGGTTATCAGAAATGGCCCTCACACAATATACCCGTGTGGGGATCAAACTCAGGTCTTCGGCGTGACGAGCGAATGCTTTAACCAATAGGCTACCCCACCTGCTCATCCTTAAGGATCGTGGTTCCTGGAAAGGTTCACCTAACCCAAAGGATCGAAGAGAAACACAAGATCAGTGAAGTGACAGTCTCAGTCTGCAGCCGGAGCAAGTTAGCGCTATAACCTGCGCCCTCTCCAGACTTTTGGCAAACGACTCATTTCTCTAATCGACTAAATATTAAATTAATTCTCTCATGAATACACAATGCCATTGTGGCAGGTGTGGTTTCGAATCCCGGACGGGACTCAACCCAAAAAAGTACAAGAATCTCTACTTTACTAAGAAAGTGTTATCCCAAATATAACATTTGTTAAATTCTCTCATGGTTGTCATGTCATTCGCACATTTGCTGGGAGATAAGCTAACAAAAATTACCTTATTGCCACCAAGTGAAACAATTGTGTCTAATGTTAATTTTTCTTTGAGTTTTTTTGGCACAGCCACTGGCTCGGTTTCCAGTTTGGAAACACGTGTTTTCTTCTTCGACTTTCCAGCCATTTTACAGGAAGTGGTGAAGCGGAAGCTGTTACATCGGAATTATATCGACAAAGTCCGATCGGGAAAGTTCCGAATGAAAACGATGTCAGCAGCGACCTCTATTGTAAAGAAACAAAACAACCGGAGCGATAACTCTTACGTTTGACACTGAATATTCGTCCTTGAAAACAAGGGCAGGAGCTAGACGCAGTCAGTGCACGGACAGAACACTTTTGACAGGTTGACTGAATCGCTCGGCTGAGGTCAATCGAAAAGCATGGCATCAGCTCCTAAGACCGACCAGGATAAGAGAAAACAAATTAGTATTCGGGGGATTGCGCCAGTAGAAAATGTATCAAACGTGAAGTCCACTTTCAACCGGCATCTTCACTACACCCTTGTGAAGGATCGAAATGTTGCGACCCCCAGAGATTATTATTTTGCTCTAGCGCACACAGTGCGTGACCACCTTGTAGGAAGATGGATTAGAACCCAACAGTATTATTATGAAATGGACCCAAAGGTAAGATTTTTTAGCACTTCAGGTTAGGTTATAACAAAACCGGCAAATTGACACTCAGCTGATTCGGTAATGAAAGGTCGAACCGAATAATGTCAAGGATAGTGACCTTGACAGTCATAGTGATCGCAATATTATCATGATAATAATACTGATAATCATGTAGATGCATCTGACACTACTATTTTAAAAGGCCTTATCAGCAACCTCTATATATCATGTCATATGTTTTCATAATGACTGACTTTACCATGTTCTTCGCTAGTTAATAGATCTAGTTTCTAATGCTGCATACTCTCGTCATCCTATCCAAATCCTTTAAGCTTTGGATAATGCACAGCCACACTTACTCTGTTTTCTAGACAGGGGTTAACTTATGTATTAAATTGTAAATTATTAATGTGATACACATGATAGATCTAACCCTACTTAAGTTTAAAGTTGTCTTTTTGTCAGGCAGAATTTCATTTGTTTATTGTTGTATGCCACACTGAGCAATAGTGTAGCTATAATGTAAATATGAAACAGACAATCCAGTGATGGATATCATGAGCATCTGCCCACGCAATTGGGGTGCAATGATATGCAGCCAGCGTTAACCAAGTCACCAAATCTGTCCACTGGATATATTTCATTGCCTCTTGCAGCAGACATAGGCTGCTGGGACTTATATTCTTGAATATACGGTCCGACGAAGTATAATCGACTAGCCACAACAGTATAGCTTGTTTATGTGCAACATATGTGCAACACAACATTTGGTAATGATAGTAGACTTTGGTAATTTGATGTGTATATTGATCCAGATGATGAGTGTCTGAGCAGATGCTGAATGGGTAGGGATGAGATGCTGTCTGTAGAAACATTTTTCGTTTCATGAAGAAAAAACAATGCAGTCTGAGGTCATTTTGCAAGTTACTATATGAGTTGATGTGGTGCTATTTCACATAATGTGGCGCAATGTTTGAAACATAATCATGCTGATAGACAAGAGAGACTGGTGCACATTTTCAGTCGTCATTATTGCAGCCGTGTGTGTAATTATAGGGGAGTCATTAACTGCTTGATCAATATACGTCCTGAAATTGTAACTACCGTATTCGACGTAATAAGCGCCCCGTTCTAATATATATATAAGCGCCCACGGCGATATTTGCTAATATATTGGCTAGTGAACAATCCCAATTAGCACCTCTTCCAATTGATCAATGTACACAAGACTTATTTATTCGTGTATAATACACACTCGTGTGTTATATGCACCTTAACTATGGGCAATTAAATTCTTGAAAAATATATCTGTCGTATATAAACATTTTAGGCTGTCAGCATAAACCACGAAATTAATCTTTCAACTCTGTTATTTTTCACCAAAATAATATTCTAATAAGAGCCCCCATATTTCTAATTTTGAGAGCGCCCTGGGCACTTATTGCGTAGTAGACAAAACCTGTTTTGATATTGTTAATTTGAGATTGCATACACTATGGACTTCTAGTACCAAACTAATGAAGCTAGTCAATCTCAGCCTCCATTTACTCAGCATTTTTCACCTTGAGCCACTAGTTCAAAGCTCACTTTGAGAAAATGCCTTTCCATGTACTCATTTAAGTCTAGTAAGGTGAATTTGCCAATGACTTTACTATTTGTAAAGTGTAAGATCTATTGAAGTAAAAAGTTTGCTGAAGGACAAATGTTGGATCCAGAGCTCATGATAAGCTGCGTATCTGCGTAAAATACGCATCAGAAAAGCAGAAATACACAGTAAAATAAAATCCAAGCGTATCAAATACACAACGAACATTACCATGATTACAGATACGCTACAAAAATAAAACTTGTGCGTATAATCAAAATATTGTGAAGTAACCCTGCGTATTCGATTAGCAAATCAGAAACTTATTTTGAAATGATAAACAGGCATTCCGTCAACCTTGCCAAACTCCACGATGACAGTTACATCATGATCATTTGCCATCACACTTTCTTGTGGAAGTATCATGGTATTTTTGAGTCCTATAAAGCTCTCAAATCCACGCGACACCAGTTTGCTGGGACTAGATGAATAGTGTTTTTAAATATTTAACTTAAATACCCACATGTGTAAAAACTAGTGGGTAACAGAAATTTAAATACCCAGATAGAATTACTGATACCCAACGATTTTAAAATGCATGGGTAAAATACCCACAACACCATGAGCTTTCATATAGTACATATAATCTGTGTCATATGGAGGGGTGCAGTCGAAAGAAAAAAATTGTTTTTATTAATTTTCTTTTTTTTTATGAATTTTTCAAACCCTAACGTCCGTCCGAAAAATTTGTCTGCGCGATTTCTCTTAAACTATTCAGTGGATTCATCTCAAACTTAGTACATATAATCTGTGTCATATGGAGGGGTGCAGTCAAAAGAAAAAAAATCTTTTTATTAATTTTCCATTTTTTTATGAATTTTTCAAACCCTAACCCTATCCATTATTTAATTTGAAACCACTGACACACTAGGCAGGTAGGGGGTATTAGTGAGCCATGCTCACTTTTTTTTCTTGTTTTATCCTATGTTGGAGCTAGATTACATATATAGAGGTTATCACGTGAGAGTGTTTGGGGATGTTGAATATCCTGCATTAGGAATAAACAGTGTATTTAGCGAGCCTTGAGGGTTCCCTCAATACTTGTGTGTCCATTGGAGAATAATTTTTATTTAACATCTTGCATAACTTTATATCAGGGACTATATATATATATACATGTTAGTCTGATGACGCTGTCTCAGTTACTAATCTGATTGTACATTGTAAGTAGCCTGACTCTCTGACCTTGCAGATACCGAGATAACAAGGATGTATATTAGGTGCATTTGACATGATGACCTTCCCGTCCTTAGTTTACTAGCAAGTCTATCTGCTGAATGCATTGTTCAACAAGTTGTGCTGTCAACATGATCAAGGCCTAACTGAATAAACATTTGGCCTTGTTTTCCCAGCTTACTTCCTGGTAGGATGTTGTTGCAACCCTGGTCTTAAACCACTGGAAGTAACTTAAGCTTCACTGGCATCCAAATCTATTCAAAATTCGTCCTGAACATCTAAAGTCACAAGATCATTTAGTACTGTACTACCATGTAAATTAGGATTTCTGAAGTAAATGTTACTGTTCTACCATGTAAATTAGGATTTCTGAAGTAAATGTTACTGTTCTACCATGTAAACTATGATTTCTGAAATAAATGTTACTGTTCTACCATGTAAACTATGATTTCTGAAATAAATGTTACTGTTCTACCATGTTAACTAGCATTTCTGAAATAAATGTTACTGTTCTACCATGTAAACTATGATTTCTGAAATAAATGTTACTGTTCTACCATGTAAACTATGATTTCTGAAATAAATGTTACTGTTCTACCATGTAAACTAGCATTTCTGAAATAGATTTTACTGTTCTACCATGTAAACTTTGATTTCCTAAGTAAATATTACTGTTCTACCATGTAAACTACGATTTCTAAAATAAATGTTATTGTACTACCATGTAAACTTGGATTTCGTAAGTAAATATTACTGTTCTACAATATAAACTACGATTTCTGAAGTTAATATTATATTACTGTACTACCATGTAAACTTGGATTTCTGAAGTAAATGTTACTGTTCTACCATGTAAACTTGGATTTCTGAAGTGAACAATACTGTACTACCGTGTAAATTATGATTTCTGAAATAAATATTTCTTTACTACCATGTAAACTATGATAATGATATCAAATATGAGTAACGAGTAGTATGCAATGTTCAAAATAAAGGGGAACCCTGAGGTTTCTATAGTATTTAAATACAGGGCAGGGATAATTCTAGGGTGGGGCCTTGTGCCCCTAAATTTGAAAAAAGGTCCACATTTTCAAATATAATGGGGCATTTTAACATTGTGATGTATGGGCAAGTGTAGGTGTACCTCTGAAGTATTTGAAAATTTTACATAAAGGGCCCATGTCAGAAAATTCCTGGAGTGAACCCTTAGATAGGGACTCCCTTAACTTTAAATTTCCGAAAATAAAAAAGGAGCCTGTCCCCTCTGGTCAGTGTCCGGTGCCTTTCCATGTACTCATTTAAGTCTAGTAGGGTGAATTTGCCAATGACTTTACCATTTGTAAAGTGTAAGATCTACTGAAGTAAAAAGTTTGCTGAAGGACAAATGTTGGATCCAGAGCTCATGATAAGCCGCGTATCTGCGTAAAATACGCATCAGAAAAGCAGAAATACGCAGTAAAATCAAATCCAAGCGTATCAAATACACAACGAACATTACCATGATTACAGATACGCTACAAAAATAAAACTTGTGCGTATAATCAAAATATTGTGAAGTAACCCTGCGTATTCGATTAGCAAATCAGCAACTTATTTGGAAATTATAAACGGACATTCCGTCAACTCCACGATGACAGTTACATCATGATCATTTGCCATCACACTTTCTTGTGGAAATATCATGGTATTTTTGAGTCCTATAAAGCTCTTGAACCCACACGACACCAGTTTGCAGGGACTACATGAATAGTGTTTTTAAATATTTAACTTAAATACCCACATGTGTAAAAACTAGTGGGTAAGAGAAATTTGAATACCCAGATAGAATTACTGATACTCAATGATTTTAAAATGCATGGGTAAAATACCCACAACACCGAAAGCTTATCTGGAGCTCTGAGTTATGAAGGTTATGACAAGTACCCCTTGACTTTCATGCTAAATTTTGAACATTGGATGCTAAAAATTTTTTTTAAATATTTTAAGCTATCTCTGTCCTATCTCTAAAAAATGTTTTGACAGGAGCGTTTTATCTACCTGTACATATACATGCAGTCAGACATGTCCCATTTGAGGGAAGATTGATGATGTGTGACTGTTTGTTCCATTTAGCCTCGCTGTAGCTGAAAGATAGCCTCTTAAGGGGGTGTCCATGCTACAATGACCAGCTTTTGATCTTCTGAGAATGCTG